TGAATGTGGTATTTTCAATAGTAAAAATTACAACGTTACGCAATGAAGAAAAACATATAGGTATTTTATAGATAAGTAGAATGAAATAGAACAAAACACCAACTTGAAGCTATAAAAACTCTGTTTATTGGACGTTTCGGCACTTGGGCCTTCTTATATGATAAATTACTGATACTTAGTACGACACGAGACATGAATCTCACGAATTTGCTAAACAAACACGATTATTATTGTTTGTTGAAATGGAAGACCATGCCACCAAGTCTCAAGAAATGTTTATACCAAATGTATCAGAATTTAATCTATAAAATAAATTGCTAAAGCGAACACTTTTATTGTGTGCATACTAAAAAAACAAATGCCACACTCCGCTTTTCTTCCCCTCCGAAGTAGCCGTAAGTTTTCAAAATATGAATATGAGGACCGCATAGTACTATGATAGACACGATATAGAAATGAAAGAAAGTTATAGTGCTTAGAAGGAGGCAATAGAATAGTCGATTTTCGCGATCTCTGTACGCCTCAATTGTGTGCTAAAATATTCAGAAATGTAGATAAAACTCGTGAGATTTCAAACTATTTCCATTGTATTCTATACTCACAGATCTCTTGCATTTGCACGGGYTGTTCTGAATAAAAGAATTTATTACATGGTTTTGAGGCTAACACAGCGTAAAAGAGATCGCTAAAAGGGTTTATTCCRGGAGTTATAATATGATTGAATAAAATTGTGCAATTTGATTGGCTTAGAGTTGTGGTATTTATCCTAAATAGTGGTATTTCAAATTGCACAATTTTATTCAACCATTTTATAAACAAATAATAGTATGTTTTGTAGTGGAATTTGGGATAAATACCACTTGTGATATTTCACCATTTGTCGCAAATTTTGTTTGACAATTTTAAAATATCACGCGTGGTATTTATCCCAAATACCACTACAAAACATGCTATTMCCTATACCCTTAGTCTTAGTTACGTCCCAGTTTGGCTAAAAAAACTACAATCTACATTTCTAGGTTTTCGCCTGGTAAACAYCGCAATCGAAAATCACGCGGTAAGTTTTCCAGCTGAGTGTGTCATGCAGTGTTCAGAGAACAAACTTTGCCAGTCCCTTAACTACCAACGTGGAAACAATGGAGTCAATTGTTACCTTAGCAACAAAACAAGACGATCAGCACCAGCAGAGGACTTCAAATCGACCCCTGGATACACGTATTATGAAAAGGTAAAATTAAAACTTGTTTTCACGAAGTGTGAATGGAATCGGGAGAGTTGTACAAATGCAACCAGCCTTCCCGTATTGAGCCAAATCCGGCGTATTTCTCTAGCAAAAGAAAGTTCGTTCAAGTCATAAGTTATAATAAACGATAAAATGTATTGTTTTATTGCCAGTCAAAGTTCGATTTGTTTACTGTAAATACAGCTATAACTGGGAAAAAATATTCCTTTTTAGGATCTGTGTGAGCCGAATCCTTGTTTATTTGGTACTTGCCTCAAGAATAACAACGAGGAGGGATTCCTGTGTAGTTGCGCGCCTGGTTACAGAGGATCGCTTTGTCAAACAGGTAGCCCACATTCACTAGGTCAATACTTCATAGTCAATAACTAACCATGGCCGAAACCCTAATAAATTAATTCTTACCCCTAATACTTACACTAATGCCGTTTCATGGGTCTTAAATAAAGTACTGAAGTTCCATAGTGCGATAATATATAAAAAAAGAAAAAAAATCACTCAATGTTTCGCTATCGTGTGATTTCAGTGACTCGTAAGATGTCTTGTAAGGATATCAAGTCAAGTAGTAACGCCTCGCATGATGGGAAATACTGGATTGACCCAGAGGATTCTGGCAATGCAATTCAGGCCTACTGTGATATGAGTCACGATGAAGGTGAGCTCATTGCAAGATTGTTTCCTTCATATTTGTCATTTATTTCCCTTTTATTTTTAAAATATATTGAAATAGTGTGACTTCATTTCTCAAGGTGGATGGCTCTTGATCTCAAATATCATCCTACCAAATCCAGTCAGCATTCCATCACTGACTTTGCGAACATCATATCGTGACATTGCCAATTACAATGATAACAAAACCGTCATTTCAGCAACTKCGCTGAGACAACTTCGTCAGTACATCAATTTTACCCAGCTAAGATATCAATGCCATAGAGCAGTCCCCGGTCGCACTGTTAACGTGATCACAGCAGMAAWCTCCAAAGGCTACGATGYTGTAGATTTCTTCACTGGAGTGTCTAATACCAACCCTCAAGCTTGCGACTCATTCTACCGAGGTACCGGAGACAATTCCCAGGTTGCTGGACAGTGTGCTCAGTGGGGTAAAGGGTCAGGAAAATGGGGTAATTATGTGGATGCGCCCAACGAAGGAAGACTTATTGATCACCCACTTTATGTGCATGGAATATACCACTGGTTAGTATTACCATCAGCCTCTCGAATGGAATGCGACAATGCATTTAACAGTGCTTTGAATCCTGGTGATTACTGGAAGATTTACGTGCGTTAGGTCCGAAACGTTTTGGAAAAGAAAAAAACRCTGTCGCAGTGGTTGCTGATAGTTACCTTTAAAGGGTTTTGCAGCATGAGACAACAACAACAACAATAACTTAATAATGGCAGTCTTCCTTTTTTACATAGAATATAGCTTGACACTATTAGTATACTAGATATGATGCCATTCAATCTTACGCACAAACTGATTGGTCAGAACCGTTGCTCACTCTGTTATTCCCTTCGTTCAACAGTTTTTTAACAATTATTCACGTGCAATTTCTTAACATCGCAGACAGATCGACGGGTCGGATGTGATATGAAAATAAGAAAATAGTTGTACAGGTCTTGTTCGCTGTATTTAAAATGGTTTTAATCTTTTTAAAAGGGTTTAAAAAATATAGAGAGAACTATGTGAGCGTCAACATATAAACTGCATTTGAATTTGTCAGTTATGACTCAAAAGTGCTTCATAATGCATGACCCAGTAGACGGCAATACAATAGATACATTTTGTTCATTTATATTTTGATAATAAGATATGATTTATTCAACAGCGGGTAAGGCAACGTTGTTGATGTTGATTTAAAGTTTGATAATCCAAAAGAGTCATACTTATAAATGAGTCTATTATAGATCGAGAGTTGACTGAATTGCCAAAGCAACGTCAACCGATGTCAGATCTGCTAGTCCAAGTAAAACCCTTAGATTAGACTGTAACCCAACACAGCGCAGCTGGAAACGTACTGAAAGACAAGTATTACATCAAAATGAATCGCGTTTTGGTAGTTCTCGTTATTGGTACCTTTTCTGCCGTTGTTGTTTTTGGTTCTCGGTTCGAAATGGCATCACGTTATGATCAGTTGAAAGGTAWAGTATAAATAGAGGATGTTTAGCTACGACATAAATCTGTGAATTTGTAAAACTAACACGGACGTTTATTGAAATAGAAAAGCATGCCATCAAATGAAGAAATTAAGAAATGTTTTTACTCTTTGGATTGGAATTTAGAGTGAATCCTTATATTGTGTGCATACTAAAAAGAGATCTTGCACCCTCCACTCATCTTCCCCAWTCTCCGAAGCCACCGTAACTCAGTGCAACTTAAGTCTTAAGACCGATTTACAAGATACGATTGTCSTGTGCGAATTATCGAATACGATTTTCCTACAACAAGTCGTAGTATTTTGAGCCATGGTTCAAAATCTTCCTACAAGTCGTAGGTTGTGTACGATTGATGTAGGCAAGTCGTAGGGAGCATCTACATGGTGTGATTTTGAGTTCATTTGAGTCGTATACTACAAGTCGCACGCGACATGAGCCTKTTGTTGCAAGTCTTCTTGCTTAAGCCTTCAGTGGTAACGTGGAGAATTCTCAGTAGATTTTCTATAAGATCTTAAAACTATTGCATTTCTTCACTCTTCAATTCATCTGTATTTTCAACTAACTTACGAGAGTTTTGGTTTGCTTTTTATTTGTTTTCGGTATCTTGACATATGCTTTACACCTGTTTTTGAGTGTTGTATAATTCATCATATATGCGTGGGGATTTGATTGACTTGGAGAAAAGACTGGCTGATAATGAGCATTTGGGACGAAGCCAAAATGACAYAAAAGCTAACTATGTCTTGGATTTTGTCGTACGAAACTTATGTACAGATACAGCGTAGAGTGGAGACATAATCTTGTTAAAGTTCATCTTCAGATATTTCTACAATGTTAAGATATACGCGTTTCGTGACTTCAAAGTTCGAATAATTTTGGAAGCTTTTTAATAATAAGAGGGACATTTTTTCTCGCAAAACGTTACCTAAATCTCTCATTATGACTAAGAACTAAAACCTTCATTTCTAGGTTTTCGCCTGGTAAAAAGCGTAATCGAAAATCATGCGGTAAGTTTTGCAGCTGAATGTATCATGAAGTGTTCGGAGAACAAACTTTGTCAGTCCCTTAACTTCCAAATTGGCAACAATGGCGTTAMTCAGTGTTATCTTAGCAAAAAAACGAGGCGATCAGCACCAGCTGAGGACTTCAAATCCACCCCGGGATACACGTATTATGAAAAGGTAAAATTCAAAGTATAAATGGACTAGAGTGCTGTACAACCAATCAAACCGCATTTAATCTTGCCAAATCCGGTATTTCTCTTAACAAAAAAAGAAAGCTCTGTCAAGTCATGTGTTTTGATAACGCATGGCCAGAAATTCCGGACATTTGAGCCCGGGACGAGTCAGCGGGTTTTCCCACAAAAATAGAGCTTTCTACAAGTTCCCTTGAGGTTTGAACTTTTGAAGATCAAATTTTCTACTCTTGTGCAACGATCCTTTATCTTAATACAATACTGGGCTAAAATCGAAACGTTCAAAACATCGACAAACGAGTATATTGGGATAGCACGCTCTGATCCTTGAGTTCATTGGTGGCTTGTAAGGTGGTCGTTTGGAATGTTCATAGTGTAAATAATATTGTTTGCTGGAACACACGTTTCCCTCAGGTATTTTAAACAATGATCATCAGTTGATATTGTGATCTTTTGTTTATACTTGTACATTTCTAAGGAATTTAAAAGGTCTGACATTGTTTACACTAAATAGCGTAGACTTGATCTTTCGTTCGTATTTCCCGCTATTTACCACTGCGCGCAAGGCGCCAGTAAAAACCGCCAAAATTAAAG